TTCACGATTTTAAATGCTGCAGTGTTCCCTTGCTCTGTTTAAACAATGTAGCTTACATGTCTAGGTATAGGTATCACATAAGCACAATTAAGTGTTCTGGGATTCCCACTTTTCTCAATGTTATTAATAATTTGTTACAATCCACATAGTCTTTGCATAGTTAGTAAACTAAAATAAGAAAATATTAGATATTTAAAGGCTAATTAAGAAAAAGGGAGAGAAAATTGAGTGCCTCTGAAAGCAGCAGTGGCATGCACTTCCTAAAGAACATGCCTCTGGAACTCTATGAACTTTGAGAAATGATGATAGCTATAGAAAAGCTTCAGGTCTTTTGTTCATAGAGTCGCTATGAGTCATGCTCTGCTAGATGGCAATCAATAGCAACAACAACAACAACAACAGTGCTTTCTGTACTGAAATGCTTCTAATTATGAGTAAGGAAAATAAAGCTAACCTATTACAGTGTTTTTCCTTGACTAGTGAAAAGGAAAGGGAGCTCTGGTGACTTAGCGGTAAGGAATTGCACTGCCACTGAAAAGGTACATAGTTTGAATCTATCAGGTGCTCTACGGGAGAAAGATGGGCTGTAGCCTCCCTTGTGATTTACTGTCTTTAAAAAAACTGCTGGAAGGTCAGCCTTGGGTCGAGTCCATAGCACAAAATAAACCCCAATAACTAAGAAGGTAAAGTCAGAATTAAAGGTGAAAAAACAGTGAAAGGTAAGGTTCAGGAGAGAAGAAAACCATAGAGAACAGAATTGCAAAATCTCTGTACTCTCTCTCATCAAGTACTCTCTCAACAACTGTGCAGCAGAAAAGTTTATAGGCTAAAAATCTCAGCAAGATTTCAACAATAATAGGATTATATAATAAAAATTTTGGATCTTGACAATACAGAGAAGGCTTTTTAAATATTATGATATCTTCAACATGATGGATTGATATGGTGACTATAGCAATGGGCTCGTGCATGTCTAAGATTGTGGGGATAGCTAGGATAGGGCAAGGGTTAGATCTGCTGTTCATAGAATCTCTGCGAGTCATAGAGAGAGCTCTGTAAATCTAGTGGATAGAAAGTGATGCTACCAAGCCAAAGTTGGGTGATTTTAATCTGCCTCCCTCAGGCCTGGTTTTAATTGTTTTTGGTCAAACATTCTTCTAAGTGGTATAGCACTGGTCTGTCAATTTGCTGTACAAAGGTAACTCACAGTTGCTGTGATGCTAAACACTGTGATACTGATGTGATGTGATATGATACTGATGTGATACTGATACTGATGTCAAATGTGATAATGGCTACCCATGGTGAACAGTGTTTGGTGGAACTCCTGATTAAAACAAGCTTGGAAGCAGGAATGGCATCCACTTTCGAAATAGCTTGCCTCTGGGTACTATATGAATGTGGAGAAACAATGAAAGTTGTACAACTGCTGAGGTCTTTCGTTCATTGGGTGGCTTTGAGTTATCTACAACTTGACAGCACTTAACAACAACTATTATCCTAGCAAAATCTATCTGAGAATTAGTAATTTGAGAAATATTAAACTTCTCTGTTGAGATAACAATGTAGGAAGAGTTTTGTCATAAGATTAGGTATTATTTGCATGACAAGTATCCAGAGTAAGAGCTGCATAGTAATGTGGACTGTGACGGTATTGTATAACAGTGAAAGATTTTCTTTATTCTTTTCAAAGAGAAAAGCGAACTGGGCAGCGTGGACAGGGATGACCAAATCCAGCCGGTCAAGATGAACAGGGTTGGACTGACAAGAAGCATGGATTAAAGAAATATTTTACACAAGCGAAAGATTAGGAGAGGTATACAGAAAAATTCTATAGTGCCGTGTTTATTCTCATCTGTTATTTTATACTCTTTCTACAGTGAATAGAAAAACAGCTCAGCTTCAAGGTTCACAATACATTTCATTCTGATTTAGGAGCCACCTGCTACTAGCAAGGCTGTTTGCTTTTTTAATCAGCACCAGGCAAGGCCATGAGAACTGAAGTATAAACAGAGTCTTTAGGGAAGGACATTCTATTCTCCACATCCCCACTTGGCCTTGGGGTACAAAGAAGGTTAAACCTGTCTCTGCTTCCCTTTAAACATCAAGCCATAATGATAAACAGATCTTCACTTTTGAACCTGGCACAAAATGGCGATTTGCAGAATATGGCTATAGTGTGGCTCACTACACAGGGAGGAAAACGTGCATTAATGAATGAATGGAAATCCAAGTTCTCTATAAACTTTCATTAAAATCTCAGTAAAAAATAAGATTAAGAACAAGACTTAAAGACAAGATCTGACAAATCCAAAGGCAGATTTCCAATTTGATGGTGGGGGGAGGAGGGGGAATGGAAGGAAATGGGAAAGATCTGGTGTGAAAAACAATGTAGTTGAACTTTGTACATAAGTATGAAATAAAATAAAGTAAAAAATGTAAAAAATATATTTCACTAGATCTCTTCACCAAAGAAAATTTAACTCTTATAAGTAAGTTATCATACAAAGAAGTTATAATTATTTATCAATACTTTTGAAAAAAATTATTTTCTACTTGTTTACATACAAAGTTCATAAAGTTTGTATACATTGTTTTTCACACCGGATCTTTCCCCTTTCCTTTACCCATGAGCCCCTCCACCCATCAAATTGTGTGACCCTATGATTAAACTCCTGTCTTCCCACCTTTTAGGAAGCAAGAGTGTCTTCCGCTTCCTACACTTGATCTTAGCCAAAAGGCCGGGAAGCGATTGTCTTCTGCTTCCTAAACAGCATGCTTCTGGAAACTTTTTGGCTCCTCATATCTATTCTACAATAATGGTCATTTATAATATTTGTCTATATGAAACTGAGTTAGTTCACTCAGCATAATGCTCTCCAGTCCCTCCCATTTTAGGTAGTAATTTATAAAATCATTGCTTCTGCATGCTACATAGTATTCCATTGTCTGAATGTACCATAATTTCTCAATCCATTCCATTGTGGTTAGGCATTTGGGCTGTTTCCATGTACTTGCTATGGGGAGTATCAATACATTTTTAATATTTACTGAAAATTATAAAACTTGTTAAAGGATCAAGTAAAAGAATCTAGTAGACTATATACATATATCTACAGATAAATCATAAAGTTAGATTATACATACTGAGATTAAAAGGTCAAAATTAATTTTTTAGAAAAAAATAGAGAATATCAACCATGACATTAAATAGATAAAACCTTGAAAATAGGAAAGATGTGTTTTATTATCTTCAAGAGAGTAGTAGCAATACTGATAGCTAGCTTTTCAACAATAGTGAAAAATAAAAAGCTGAGTGACAGAGAAATGGAATTTATAAAAAGAGGAAGAATCTATGATTTTATAATCATGAAATATTTCCAAAGGAAACACAAAATAGATATATTCTGGCATTCTTCTGAGTGTATTTACATATTTTAATATTTTATTTTTAGTTCACTATACTAATAATTCAGATACAATATAAACTAAGAATGATAAAAACAGATATTTTTGAACTCTTTCTGATAGTACAGGAAAAAAGATCACTATTTCACATAAATAAGAAGTGGAAGATAGTTAATAGACTGTCTTGAATGTCATAAATTTTAGTATTTCCTTATTATATATAATTAGGGAATTCTGGTGACGAGTAGTAAGAAACTATGCTAGTTTGCTAGCTACTCAATAAGGTCTTCCCATGCAGTTAAATGTCTCTGAAAATCTACTGGAGTGTCAGCTACGGGTTGACTCAACTTGAGGGCCCCCAGCAGCAAGAAGACATAATGGCCAAAAAGTTTACATTAGAGTATAACCTGTAGTTAATTAGTACTTATTATTTTTTTATTTAATTTGTTTGTGTCTGTTTTCATGATTGGTGTTGGTCTTACACCTTTATTAGTTTTATGGATTACAATTGTATTGTCCTCATAAGGTAAATCAAGAATTACTTTTTTTCTCTATGTATTCCTCAATAACTTTCAAGTTTGAATTTGTTTAAATGCTTGATAAAACTTGCATGTCAAATCTATGTCTCAAAAAGTTTTATTTCTGCTTTGCCATGAATTTGGATATGGTATTGTTATTTGGATATTTCAAGAAATGTGTTTCTTTTATTTAGGTTATTGATATTACAGGAAATAATTTATTGAAAGAATGAATTTTCATTTTAATGTTTGTAGTGTTTAGTGATATTTTCTATTTTATTACTTATTCTTGTCTTTTCTGACTTACATTTTTTCTATGTATTACTATTTCTGCCTTATCCTTAGTGTGTAGGTTTTTCTACTCTTATTTTATACTTCCATCCATTATGTTTGATCCTACTCTCTCCTTTTCTTCACTTCTGAAGGAAGTAGTTTAGCCCATTGGTTTACTTTATGCAAACAAAAATTAACAAAACCAGTTTCCATATAATACACAATTATCATGGAAACACAAAATGGATCTTACACTTGACCCATTTAAGAGATAATATAATTCTTAACATATTTTGAAAAAAAGTATGTCCTCCTACAATAACTTATTTAAATTTAAATTAAATTATAAAACTTATATAAAATCCTAAAGTTTAAGATATTAATCGACTGTCATTTTAAAATTCCATAAGCTAATAGGAAAAAAATTCACAGTAAGGTCCAAACATGTTGTAAATACAAGTAAAATTGCAGCAAGATTACTGCTTAAAGAGAAATTTACAAATTAAATCCACATATTTAAAGACAAATATGCTTTAAAATTTATAAAATGTCATATGATGAAATTTAAAAAATAGAAAAAAAATTTAAGGAAGGAAATGATAATGGTAACAACAGGGGAAAAGAATAAGTATGTATAGATTAAACTCACTATAATTTATATTATCCAAGATATAGTTGTGCAACAAATGCAAATTAGATTAATCATAATGACTGAGATTCCATGCTATAAACATGCAGTCTAACAAATTTCCATCTTTAGTAAATCACATATCATTACTATGACCACAAACTTTTGATGTGTTATTGAGATTTATTATTCAGAAGAAAAATCTGTGCCACCCGCTTGCAGATTACTTTATTTTTTATACCATAGACAATAGGGTTGAGTGCAGGCGGCACGAGTAGGTAGATGGTAGACAGAAGAATGTGGGTAGAGGGAACAACATGCCCAAAACGGTGGCTGAAGAATGAGAAGAAAGCAAGAATATAAAACTCAAGAAAGACAAACATATGTGGCACACAGGTGTTAAAAGCTTTGAGCCGTGCCTCTTTTTGAGGTAGAAGAAAAACAGCCTTGAAAATAAGGACATAGGAAACAAGGATAAAAACCATGTCAAATCCCAGGATCGTAAAGCCAACAAAGAGACCACATATTTTATTGACACGAATGTCTTCTGCAGCCAGCTTGACCACAGCCATGTGCTCACAGTAAGAATGAGCAATTACAGTCGAATGGAAAAGATGAAGTCTTTTGATTAGAATGGGTAGGAGACCAACCAGCACTGTTGCCCTGATGGCCACCACCACCATCATCCAAACCAGCACAGAAGGTGTAAGGATAGATGTGTGTCTTAACGGGTCACAGATAGCAACATAGCGGTCAAAGGCCATTGCCAGCAGGATACCAGATTCCATGCACTGTAAAGTGTGGATGAAGAAGAGCTGAACTAAACAGGCATTAAAGGCCATGGAGAAAGAGGCAAACCAGAAGATAGCCAACATCTTGGGAGCAAT